GGAATGGATCCAGAGACTTGAAGCTTGGAAAAGAGGGTAGAATCTTAGAAGGAAGGTGGGGGAGGGTGGGTGGGAGGTAATTAATCAAAGCCCTTGTATGCATATATGAATAACCCATGGACACAAACAATAGGGTGCTGAAGGCCTTGGGTAGGGACAGGGTTGGGCTGTTGGATGTCAATGGTAGAGAAAAGTGGACATATGTAATACTTTCAACAATAAAGAATTGTTTTTAAAAACAATATTAGAGTTTACTTTCTATTTTTTCTTCTAGGAGTTTTACAACTGTCTGTCTTACATTTAACTCTTTAAGTCATTTTGAGTTTAGTTTTATTTTTCACATGTATTTATCCAGTTTCTCCAACACAATTTATGGAAGAAACTGGCTTTATCTTTTTGCATATTCTTGCCTTCTTCATGATAGGTTGACTATATAGGCATGGGTTTTTTTTTCCTGGGTCATCTATTCTGTTTCATTCATCTATGTTTTCCGTTTTTATGCCAGTACTATGCTGTTGTGATTACTATCGCCTTGTAGTATAATTTGATACCGGGTAGCATGATACCTACAACTTTGTTCTTTTTTCCCAATAATTATTTGGCTATTCCAAGGTCTTTTGATTACAGTGTACTATCAAACTGATAGGGAGTTCTTTTTTCCCAATAATTATTAGTTCTTTGTTCTTTTTTCCCAATAATTATTTGGCTATTCCAAGGTCTTTTGATTACAGTGTACTATCAAACTGATATCCAGAGGGAGCTGGGTAGGGCCCAGTGACCCAGTGATAGTACAGTTTGATATCAGTTATTAAGATTCTTGCAACTTTGTTCTTCTTTCTCAAAATTGATGAGGCTATTTGGGGTCTTTTTTAGTTCCATATAAATTTTTGGAATATTGTTCTAGATCTTTGAAATATGTCATATTGTAAATAATAGGATTTGTGTTGAATCTATAGAGTGCTTTGGTTAATATGGACATTTTAATGATGTTAATTCTCCCAATCCACAAACATAGTATATACTCCCACTTGTTTATATCTGCATTTATTTCTTTTTTCAATGTCCTATAGTTTTCCAAGTATAGGTCTTTTACCTCCTTGGTTAAGTTTATTCCGAGGTACCTAAATTTTTGTTGTTGCAATGGTTACTGGGATTTTTTTAAGTTCCTCTTTCTGATAGTTCATTCTTAGTGTATAAAAATGGCACTGATTTCTAGATTTTAATTTTATGGCCTGCTATTTGCTGAATTCACTTATTAGATATAGTATCGATAGTTTTTTGTTGGGCTTTTTAGGGTTTCTATGTACAATATTGTGTCATCTGCCAATAATAAGTTTTACTTTTTTCTTTCAATTTGGATGCCTTTTATTTCTTCCTGTTTGATAATTGTGGCTAGGACTTCCAGTACTATTATATATAATAAAAGCCTAGTATGCAAATTGTCCCTTGACTGGGAGTTCAACCGCTTGCTATGACATGTGCTGACCACCGGGGGGTGATGCGGAACATGGCAGGCAGCAGTGGAGGCACTGTCAGCCCCAATGGACCCTGACGAGAGCAGGATCATGTCAGGATGGTGGAGCAGTTGAGCAGGTGGTGCCAGGCCAAGGCGGTTATGAGCTGGGCTCAATTGCCCCACAGATAGTGACCAGTGGGGGTGAGGGGGACACCACCTGGCTCCCAGGCACCGAGGGAGCTGGGTAGGGCCCAGTGACTCAGGTGTAGGGGGCGCATGGGGTCAGCTGGGACCTACCCTTCCAACCAAATGTTTACGCTTCAATCACTGGCCAAAGCCTAGGGACTGCACCCATGCACAAATTTCTTGCATCATGCCTCTAGTGTTGAATAAGAGTGGTGAAAGCAAACACCTTTGTCTTGTTCCTGATGTTTAGGAAAATGCTTTTAGTTTTTGCCCACTGAGTATGTTTGGCATATATGGTCTTTATTATGCTGAGGTATGATCTCTCTATTTTTACTTTACTTTTGAGAGTTTGTATCATAATGGAAAAGTGAGGTCCAAGTCTCCCAAGTGGCCTGTATATGCACTGACTCCACCACCACATGTTCTGGGCTCTTCTTCCTATCTCTTTTGCTCTGGGTAGAAACCCCTCTCTCCCAGGGAATGGAGTTTTGTATCCACAATATCACTCAGGCTTCTCAGTCATTGCACCTGGTTTTGGTGGCTAGCCCTTTCTGTATCCCTTTCTGCCCTTTTTACCATCTTTATATGGCTTCTACTGTGATTCGTTGGTCATAGTATTCAATTCAACTAGCCTTCAGGTCGTTATTTAGGTTGATTGCTCTATAATTTAGCCATAAATCACGTTTGGGGCTGAGAGCTGGTGAGTGTAGCTTCCATCTACACTGCTGCCATATTGGGATCTATTGTTATCTGATCTTCAGTAAACCTTTTCTGCAACAATTTCCATTGCTCGTAGCAGGAGCTCTGGCAGGGTCCAGGGAAAGACCCCATGTAAAGTAGTAGAAGGCACCTAGGAATAATCTGAATAAGAATTATGCATGATATGTAAGAAATATTCCTGAAGGACACAAACATTAACTTGAGTAAATAGAAAGGCATTCTGTGTTCTAGAAATCAAGACTCAGCACCATAAAGATTTCTGCATTCCTTATATTACTCTATTCATGTTATGCACTCTCAGTAAAAATATGAGTGTAATTAATAATTGATCCATGTTTATGTGGAAACTTTGAGTTATTAATTTTTTTTGAAAATAGACACTCAGGCTTTAAAAAAAATAAAGACTTTATTGTTTTTTTCGAGTGGTTTAGATTGACAGACTCAAGAGGAATGAACAGTTTCCACCCACACCTCTTGCCCCACGCATTTGGTACATTTGCTACAACCAATGAACCTACACTTGGCACATCAATACCCAAATTCCATAGTTCACTTTAGGGCTCAATTTTGATGTTGTACAGTCTGTTGTGTTGGACAAAAGTATAATGACATTTATCTTATCATTTAGTATTATACAGAATAGTTTAACTGCTCTAAAAAGTCACCTATTCTTTTTTTCCTTTATTCCTCTCTCCAAACCCCTAGCAATCACTGATCATTTTATTTTCTTCATATTTTTGCCTTTCCAGAATGTCATATAGGTGGAATTATATAGTATATCTTTTTGTTGTTGTTGTTGTTAATCTTACCCGACGATATTTTTACATTGATTTTTAGAGAGAGTGGAAGGGAGAGGGAGAGACAGAGAGATAGAAACATGAATGTGAGAGAGACACATCAATTGGTTGCCTCCTGCACACACCCCTGACCAAGGCCGGGGATAGAGCCTACAACCTAGGCACATGCCCTTAATTGGCATCAAACTCTATCCACTGAGCAAAACCTGCTGGGGCTATCTTTTTTTATGTTAGTTCCTTTCACCTAATTATATGCCTTTTCATTGCTCCATAGTGCATTTCTTCTTTAAAACTGAATAACATTTTATTGCCTATGTGTACCACAGCTTATTTAATCATTCACTGAGACTTATTTGGGTTATTCCCAAGTTTTGGCCATTATGAATAAAACTGCTGTCAACATCAGTGCACGAGCGTTTGTGTAACATAATTACTTAGCTCTTTGGGGAAAATATCGAGCATTATTACTGGATCATATTGTAGGAATATGTTTAGTTTTGTAAGAAACTGCCAAACTGCCTTCCAAGGTCGCTGTACCATTTTGCATTCTCACCAGCAATGAATGAGAGTTCCTGTTGCTCCTTTCCAGCATATAATATTGTCAGTGTTCTGGATGTGGGCTATTCTAATAAGTATGTGTGGAGGTGTCTTTTATTAAGACATTAAAACATTTTTCAAAAAAAATTTTTTTTCAATTATAATAGAGAACATGATACTGGCAAAAGAATACAGTTTGCTGAACTGAAATAGAACTACTAAGAAATGAAAAAATGTATCATGTATGATACATTATCTGTACTAATGCTCACTTTTGTTTCTTGTGTCAGCATATCAGAAGTGAGGCAATATCGTATATAGTTTATTTCTTAATTAGAATGTAAAATAATAGTGTATTTTAAGTGTCATGAAATATTCACATGAGACTTTGTAAACTTGGGTAGCCCCCTTTTGGAAGAAAATTAAGTAGGATTTATAACATATATTACAGTAGAACACAATTATAATTGATAATCTTATATTATAATCTTTTACAAATAATATCATGCCAAAATAAAATAATTGATTAAAGATTTACATGTAATAAATGAAAACATTAAAGCTATAAAAAATGAAATTCATATAAGTATGTTATAGTAAGAAAGATCTTACTCAAAAAGTAGAAGAGTTGACATTATGACTTTTGTGTGACAAAAATTCATAGCAAAGATAAAATCCTTTTATTTTTATTTTATTTTTTACAAAAAAAAAAAAGCTAGTTTAGGAATGAGGAATGCTTCTATGTAGATGTGGGCATGGGTGTGTGGTGGGGAAAGTTGACTGACTTTCTTGGGCTTGGGAAATGAGAAGACTTGATTAGGAATCTTTAGTTTTGATCAGAGGGTACTGTGTTATTGGCCAGAGGGCACCATTTGGGTGAATCTGGCTTGGAACCTGAGGACTTCAGAAGAGGAATTTGTTCAGGGCAGGTCTTGGAAGCTCTCTCTTGGTTTCAGAGCAATATCACTATTAGAATAACACTGTTGAGGCAGGAACCTGGGTTGCTTGGGTGAAAAAAGGGAATCTGAGTCTGTATTTTTTTAAAAATCTACTAGCTAGGATCTGTCTTGCTGCAGTTAAAGCCTGGGGTTTATGGGGTTGAAGAAGGGATAAGATTTATCCCACTAGCTAGACTTAGAAGACCAAGACAAATGGAGATAGTTTTACTTGGTTAGTCTGAGAGCTGTAAGGTCCATATTTTTATAGAGCATTTCTTTGCTTCCTCAGGCCTGCCTTCTTAGAACACTATCCTTTTTTAAGAGAATGGCCTTGAAGCAGACTGTTAATCTGCAATACTGAAAGCCATGGCCCAGGTGAGTTTATGTTCTTCTTACCTTCCTGTCACTGTTCTTTTTAAGAAATATTTAAAACAAAATTTTAAGGGCATGTGAGCATTTGCTTACCTTTCTGGCTTTCTGTTTATGAGAGTCCTCATTCAGAATCCTAGAATCCTACAGTGACCATCAGTTTTGTATTCAGTATTGTAAATAAGCTCATGAATTTAAACATTTTTTTTACTTGATCAGTCCATTACATTGATCCCCAGATTGTACCAATTTTGGCCAATACAAGGCTCTTCGGGTTGACTCCTAAGACTTTCTAACCTGATTTCTAATAGTGTTTTTTTTTTAATTGTTTTCACTATTACATGACTTATATATTGTCTCTTTTGCCCACCTCCACCAGCCCCTTTCCCTCCTCTAGCCTTCATCACACTGTTACCTGTGTCCATAGGTTATGTATATATGTTCTTTGGCTAATCTCTTCACCTTCTTTCATACCCTGCCCCTATTGACCTCCCCTCTGACATCTGTCACTCTGTTTCATGTATCCATGCCTTTAGTTCTATTTTGTTTGTCAGTTTATTTTGTTCATTGGATTCCACATATAAGTGAGATCATATGGTATTTATCTTTCTCTGATTGGCCTCTTTTGCTTAGCATATAATCTTCAGGACAATCCATGCAATCACAAAGGGTAAGAGTTCCTTCATTTTTACAACCAACTACCATCCCATTGTGTAAATGTACTACAGTTTGTTTATTTTTTCCCCATGGGTACTTGGGCTGTTTCCAGATCTTGCTATTGTAAATAATTCTGTAATGAACATAGAGGTGTTTAGATTCTTTCTGATTGGTGTTTTGGAATTCTAGGATATATTCCCAGAAGTAGAATTGTTGGGTCAAAAGGCAGTCCTATTTTTAAATTTTTGAGGAAACTATACTGTTTTTCTCAGTGACTGCACCAGTCTGTGTCTCCACCAACAGTGCACTAGGTTTCCTTTTCTCCACATCCTCACTAGCACTTATTGTTTATTGATTTATTGATGGTAGACATTCTGGCAGGTGTGATTTTAATTTGCATCTCTAGTGATTAATGATGTTGAGCATTTTTTCATATGCCTATTGGCCATCTGTATGTCTTCTTTGGAGAAATGTTTATTCAGATCCTTTGTATATTTTTTAATTGAATAGTCTTCCTCCTTGTTGAGTTGTATAATTTCTCTATATATATTTTGAAAATTAACCCCTTATCAGATGTATCATTGGGTTCCATTTTCATTTTGTTGATGATTTATTTTTATTTTTAAAATATATATTTATTAACTTTAGAAAGGATGGGAGAGATAGAAGCACCAATGATGAGGGAGAATCACTGACTGGCTGCCTCCCTCACACCCCATACTGGGTTTGAGCTGGCAACTCAGGAATGTACCCTGACCTGAAATCATCCCGTGACCACCTGGTTCATAGGTGAAAACTCAATGACTTAGTCATGCCAAATGGGCAATTTTAATAATTTTTGGAGAGAGAATAAAGGTGAGGAAGAGAAACACAATGCAAGAGTGCAGCCACCTTTTGCACACCCCATTCTGGAGTTGATGATTTCTTTTTCTGTGCAGAAGTTTTTAGTTTGGTGTAGTCCCATTTGTTTACTTTTGTCTTTGTTCCCATTGTCCTAGGAGATATATCAGCAAATGAAATTGCTATGAGATGTCTTAGACTTTACTGCTTCTATTTTCTATTAGAATTTTATAATTTTGTTACTTACATTTAAGTCTCTTATCAATTTTGAGTTTATTCTTGTTTATGGTATAAGTTGGTGGTCTAGTTTCAACATTTTGGATGTCCCTGTCCAATATTCCCAACACCATTTATTAAAGAGACTGTCTTCACTTCATTGTATGCTATTGCCTCCTTTGTTAAATGTTAATTGATCATAAAGGTGTGGCTTTATTTATGGGCTCTTTGTTCTTCTCCACTTATTTTTTATGTATATAGTGACCTTTATTATAATTCATAAATACATTAGAAATGAATCTTTAATTTAAAAAAGGCATCTAGGTTCTCATGGGCTTCTGTTTTCTGTTCATTCATTTATGCAGTTAGAAAACCAACTTTGAGGATGAAAAAGGTTAAGTATCATTTTAGTTTCAATTTTTGCCTCAACATTCTTAAAAGTTCTATGGATCTTCTAGGTCCTAGGATCATACTGTCTTTTTTTTTTTTTTTCTTTCTTTCAAAAAAAGATTTATTAAATATATTGAGGTGACATTAGGTCAACATGAACATATAAATACAACATAAACATATACAATAATCTGAGTGGACAGATTATTATGACCACCTCATCAGTACTTTGTTGGGCCACCTTTTGCCTTTAATACTGTGGTGATTCTTCTTGTGGCATTGACTCCACGAGATGTTGAAAGGTGATGCGAAGAATCTGGCACCATGCCTGATGAATAGCACTGTCCAGTTCTGTGAGATTTGATGGTTGTGGAATCAGCTGCCTGATGGCTCTCTTAACTTCGTCCCACAAATGCTCAATTAGATTGAGATCTGCTGATTGTGGGGGCTACCTAAGCAAGGTAAAGTCTCTCTCATGTTCTTGAAACCACTCCTTCACAATATGAGCACTGGGGCATGGTGCGTTGTCTTGTTGGAAGAAGCCATCTTCATTGGAATACACATCAACATGATAGGATGAACTTGATCAGCAACAATACTTAGGTATGTTGTGCTATTTAGATGTTGTTCCATATAAATTAAAAGGCCCAAATCATGCAAGGAAAACATGCCTCAAACCATAACACTACCCCCACAAGCTTGAAGGGTTGTACTCATGCATGTGGGGTACACGCTTTCATGCTGTTTCCACGAAATTCTCACTCTTCCATCTGACTGATGCAACTGGAAATGTGATTCATTGAATCACATGACTTTTCTAATGCTCGACTGTCCAATCCTTGTGTTCCTTTGCAAATTGGAGATGTTTTATTTTGTTAACTGCAGACAGCAAAGGTGTTCAATAGGCCTTCGGCTTCCATATCCCATATGATGCAGTGTACGGCTAATTTGCCTACAAATATCAGGTGGTCATAATAATCTGGTCACTCAGTATAGGTTTCAGGTAGGGTTTCTATGTTACAAGATCTGTATATTGTACCATGTGCCAACCACACAAAGTCATGTTTTTTCCTGTCACCATACTGTCTTAATAGAGCTGTCCATGCTCTATGCCTTCTGTAGCTTGACCAATGGGACATATTTTTAGTCTACCAGTTAATACAGATCTGGGGCTATAACTGAGAATTTGCATTTCTGTCTTCCTGTTCCCCTTTTTACTCCAAAGTGCAATTATATATCTTCCAAAAATAGTTACCACTTTACCAACTCTCCCTGTGAACTAGAGGATCCAAAAAGCACTGTCAACTGCCACATAGGTAAGGTGACTCTTCTTCATCCCCAAATCAAATTATTTGGTATATTGACTGAAGGTAAACACCAAGCATGCAGAACAAAGGTGTATCCCCAAAAACTTCTGCTTATTTACTAGTATATACCTATTCAGATGCTAGTACCAGGCTGTTTTGATTACATTGGTCTTATAGTATGCTTTGATATTTAATATTGTGATACCTCCAATTTTGTTCTTAGATAGCTGAGGCTATTTGGATTCTTTTTTGGTTCCATATAAATGTTTGGAATATTTTCTCTAGATCTGTGAAATGTGCCATTAATATTTTAATAGGAATTATGTTGAATCTATGGATTTCTTTGATTAGCATGGACATTTTAATTATGTTAATTCCTCTAATCAGTGAACACAGTATATGCTTCCCCTTATTTGTATCTTCCTCTGTTTTCTTTCTTCAATGTCCTATAGGTTTCCAAATATAGATATTTTACCCCCTTGATTATATTACCAGGTGCCTTATTTTTGATGTTGTTGTTGTTGCAGTAGTAAATGGAATTGCTGTCTTAGCTTCTCCTTCTGATAGTTTATTATTGGTGTATAGAAATGCCACTGTTTTCAGAGATATTAATTTTGTATCCTACTATTTTGCCAAATTTATTTATTATATCTAACTAGAGGCCCAGTGTACAAAATTCATGCAAAGAGGGGGCGTTCCCTCAGCTCAGCCTGCACCCTTTCCAATTAGGGTCCCCTTGGGACCACTGGCTCCTAACTGCTCACCTGTCTGCCTTCCTAATTGCTTCTATCTGCCTCTGCTGCAGCCTGGTCACTCCTAACTCCCCTTCCCTGCTGGCCTGGTTGCCCCCAAGTGCCCTCCCCTGCTGGCCTTATCTCATCCCCAGTAGCCCTCCCCTGCTGACCTGATCTTGCCCCAAACTGCCCTCCTCTGCAGGCCTGATCTCACCCCCAACTGCCCTCCTCTGCTGGCCAATTTGGTTCTGATTGGTCGGTTTCTATGCCAGTGTCAAAAGCTCTGCATCCTAGGCAGCCATTGGCTTCCCACAGCACCCAGATTTAGTTGATTGGTCAGTTCCTATGCCAGTCAGCTTCAAAAGCTCTGCCTCCTAGACAGCCATTGGTTCTGATGGTTGGGTCCTGTGCCAGTCAGCATCGCTGGGCCTGTCACTGGGCCTAATTAGAGAGGTGGGGCTTAATAGCAGCCTCCCATAGAAGCTGGGAGAGAAAGAAAAGTCAGGCTGCTGGCAAAGCTCAGAAAGAAAGAGGAAGAGAAAGAAAGAAGCAGGTACTGATCAACAGCTGCCATTGAGGCTGTGGATCAGACCCTGCCTCTCTTTCTGGGTCTCAGCCCCCTGGGCAGTCAGTGCTAGGTTGTCAGGCTGCAGCTGGGCAGTCAGTGTGACTGAAGGACTTCAGGGTTGATCTGCCTTCAGTAGTGATCAGTAATTACAACCCTGGCCTTTTATATATTAGACTAGAGGCTCATTGCAGGAAGATTCCTGCAATAGGGCTTCCTGCTGCAGTCACTGCCCCACCTGCTTCCCTCTCTTCTCCCCTAGTCCACCTGCTTTATTCCCTTCTCCCTGTCCCACTT